GCCACGGCACTCCAGCCTCAGCAACAGAGCGAGACCCTGTCTCAAAACCAACCAATCAACCAGTCCGTTTGAAGATGTCCTCATGGGACTGTGGCCGGAGAGCCCTGCTGGCCTCTGGCTGTGCTCCCGTCCTTGCAGTAGGAGGTGGGGACGGTCATTTCACCGTCCCCCAATGTCATTCCAGCTGCTACTCCCTGTAGTCAGCCCAGGTCCTGGGCCAGACACTGCATTGGAGACAGGCATGAGCAGGACCTCTTCCTGCCTTGGGGGGAAACCCAGGGGCGTCTGGGGCTCACTGGGTGCCTCACATCCACTTTGTGCTGTTGTCTGGGGACCTCTGAGTGGGTGGCCATAGAATTCAGCCCAAACCAGGATGCTTTTGGGAATGGAGGGAGAGCCTTGTGAGTAGCTATTCGGGACAACCAGAGGGGCGTCGGCCACCCCACTGCATGTCAGGAGTGACCACTGGGCTGTGTGGGGGCAGGCAGGGCGGGGCCCAGGCAGCCGGCTCAGTGGAGCCCCGAGCCCCCAAAGCTGGGCTCTCTCATGGGCCCTGGTCTCGTCCCCAGCCTTCCTCTCTATGCAGGGCGTCCACGTGGACCACACGGCCCAGCTGTGGGGCATCCGATGGGCCAGCAGTTTGCGGCAGGAGGCCTCGGACTATCACCGCACGCTGACGCCCACCCTGGAGGCACTGGTGAGGGTGGTCTGCGTTTGGGGGCCAGGAAGGAAAAGCGAGTAGCCGGGGGCTCTGACGTAGAGCTGCTTCCCATGGGGGAGGGAGGGGGGATGGAGGCAGGGAGGCTGGGGTGGAGGCTGTGAGATTGGGAAGCCGGGTCGTGGGACGGGGAGGATGAGGCCAGGGTGTGGAGGCTGATGCCTACAGAGCAGAGCAGTATCCACTGAGGACTGAGTCCTGCGGGACTTCAGGCCACATTTATTCTGGATGGGAATCAGAGCCCTCACGCACAGCTGGGGGAATGTATTTTATTTGTTTTGAGACAGAGTCTCACTCTCGCCCATGCTGGAGCGCAGTGGTGCGATCTCGGCTCACTGCAACACCTCCCGGGTTCAAGCGATTCTCCTGCCTCAGCCTCCCGCGTAGCTGGGACTACAGGCGCCCGCCACCACGCCCGGCTAATTTTTGTATTTTTAGTAGAGACGGGGTTTCACCACGTTGGCCAGGCTGGTGTCGGACTCCTGACCTCAAGTGATCCACCCTCCTCGGCATCCCGAAGTGCTGGGATTACAGGCGTGAGCCACCGCGCCCAGCCTGGGGGAAGGTAAAATTAGGCATTCCAGGAAAGCAGGAAAAGATAAAATGGAATACAGTGGTGCAGGCCGGGTGTGGTGACTCATGCCTATAATCCCAGCACTGTGGGAGCCCAAGGCGGGTGGAGTTCAAGACTAGCCTGACCAACATGGAGACGCTCAGACTTCCACTAAAAATACAAAGCTAGCTGGGTGTGATGGCATGTGCCTGTAATCCCAGCTACTCAGGAGGCTGAGGCGGGAGGATTGCTTGAGCCGGGGAGGCGGAAGTTGCAGTGAGCTGAGATCGTGCCATTGCACTCCAGCCTGGGTGACAGAGCAAGACACTATCTCAAAAAATAATTTAAAAATATACACTGGGCGTGGTGGCTCACGCCTGTAATCCCAGGACTTTGGGAGGCTGAGGTGGGTGGATCATGAGGTCAGGAGTTCGAGACCAGCCTGGCCAACATAGTGAAAGCACATCTCTACTAAAAATACAAAAAATTAGCCGGGTATGGTGGTGGGTGCCTGTAATCCCAGCTACTCAAGAGGCTGAGGCAGGAGAATCGCTTGAGCCTGGGAGGCAGAGATTGCAGTGAGCTGAGATTATGCCACTGCACTCGGGCCCAGATGACAGAGCAAGACTGTCTCAAAAATAACAATAAAAAATTTAGAAATAAAAAATAAATAAGGCCGGGCGTGGTGGCTGACACCTGTAATCCCAGCATTGTGGGAGGCCGAGGTGGGCATATCACAAGGTCAGGAGTTTAAGACCAGCCTGGCCAATATGGTGAACTCCCGTCGCTACTAAGAAATACAAAAAGTATGGGTCTGGTGGCACGTGCCTGTGATGCCAGCTGCTTGGGAGGCTGAGGCAGGAGAATTGATAGAACCCCGGAGGCGGAGGTTGCGGTGAGCCGAGATCTTGCCACGGAACTCCAGCCTGGGCGACAGAGGGAGACTGTTTCAATGAATAAATAAATAATAAAAATAAAACATAAATAGACCGGGCACGGTGGCTCACGCCTGTAATCCCAGCACTTTGGAAGGCTGAGGAGGGCGGATCATGAGGTCAAGAGATCAAGACCATCTTGGCCAACATGGTGAAACCCCGTCTCTACTAAAAAATAGAAAAATTAGCTGGGCGTGGTGGCGCGCGCCTGCAGTCCCAGCTGCTCGGGGGGCTGAGGCAGGAGAATCACTTGAACGCGGGAGTCGGAGGTTGCAGTGAGCCGAGATCGTGCCACTGTACTCCAGTCTGGGCGACAGAGGGAGACTGTTTCAATAAATAAATAAAACATAAATAAAAGGAAATGCTTTCCCATGGAACCAACCCGCTCTCTAGCTCCCTCCACCACCTACCCGGCCTCTGCAGTGGTGGGGTGCACATGCTGTGGGTGTCAACATTGACTGGTCTTGTTTCTGTTGCAGTTTGTAAGTAGTTTTCAGAAGACAGAGTTAGAGGCAAGCTGTGTGGGCTGCACGGTGCTGAATTACAGGTGAGTTGGAGCTTCCATTGGGTGAAGGAGACTTGGTGGACATCTGGGAGTTTCTGGAGGATTCCAGAAAAGTTTGGAAGATTCTAGAAGATTCCAGAAGATTCCAACAGAGAGGAGGCCCTACTTCTCCAAGGGCCTCTCCTCCATGCCTGTAGGGATGGGAACTCCAGCGTCCTGGTGCATTTCCAGCTGCACTTTCTGCTGCGACCCCTCCAGACGCTGAGCCTGGGCCGGGAGGAGGAGCTACTTCAGGAAGGGATCCGGGCAAGGCTGCAGAAGCACGGCATCTCCCTGGCTGCCTACGGCACCATTGTGTCGGCTGAGCTCACAGGTGAGTGGGCAGTTGAGACTGAATCCACATCACGAGGAGGCTGGAGGCGGGCAGCCTTCGCAAGATACATTTTGATAAGCACCCCTTCCCATAAAAAGAAAATGAAATCTTCAGCGTGGCGGCTCACGCCTGTGATCCCAGCACTTTGGGAGGTCGAGGTGGGTGGATCATCCGAGGTCAGGAGTTTGAGACCAGCCCGGTCAACATGGTGAAACCCCGTCTGTACTGAAAATACAAAAAATGAGCCATGCGTGGTGGCGGGTGCCTGTCATCCCAGCTACTCAGGAGGCTGAGGCAGGAGAATCACTTGAACCCGGGAGACACAAGTTGCCGTTAGCTGAGATCGTGCCCTCCAGCCTGGGCAAAAAGTGTGAAGCTTCTTCTCAAAAACAAACAAACAAACAGACATTGCCTTTGCCTTAATGGTGTAGACAAGGGTTGGCCATCTTTTTCTGTAAGGAGCTACAGTGTAAATATTTTCTTTTGGTTTTTTGAGATGGAGTCTCACTCTGTTGCCAAGGCTGGAGTGTAGTGGTGTGATCTCGGCTCACTGCAACCACCACCTCCTGGGTTGAAGCAATTCTCCTGCCTCAGCCTCCCGAGGAGCTGGGACTACAGCTGTGGGCCACCACGCCCGGCTAATTTTTGTATTTTTAGTAGAGACAGGCTTTCACCATGTGGGCCAGGCTGGTCTTGAACTCCTGACTTCGAGTGACTTGCCTGCCTCGGCCTCCCAAAGTGCTGGGATTACACGTGTGAGACACTGTGCCCAGCCAATATTTTCATCTTTGGGGACCGTTGCGTTTCTGTGACAACCACTCAACTCTGTTGTTTGTACCGCAGAGGCAGCCACAGACCATATATCAGTGAATGGGTGTGGCTGTTTACCAATAAAACTTTATTAACAATAAGAAGCCGTGGGCTGGATTTGGCCCCTGGCTGCAGTTGGCCAAACTTGACTGTAGAATGAAGGGTAGATGCTACACCCTAATAAGATTGTATGTGAGGCCAGGCACAGTGACTCACACTGTAATCCTAGCACTTAGGGAGGCCGAGGTGGGTGGATCACTTCAGGTCAGGAGTTCAAGACCAGCCTGGCCAACATGGCGAAACCCCATCTCTACTAAAAATACGAAAATGAGCCGGTGTGCTGGCACATGCCCGTAGTTCAGTTACTCAGGAGGCTGAGGCAGAATTGCTGAAACCTGGGAAGCAGAGGTTGCAGTGAGCCAAGGTCATACCATTGCACTCCAGTCTGGGTAACAAGAGCAAAACTCCATCTCAAAAAAAAAAAAAAAAAAAAAAAAAAGGGCACGGTGGCTCAGGCCTATAATCCCAGCACTTTGGGAGGCCGAGGCGGGTGGATCACCTGAGGTCAGGAGTTCAAGACCAACCTGACCAACATGGTGAAACCCTGTCTTTAAAAAAAAAAAATTGTCAGCTTGATCTTGATGAGCAGGACATTGGTGGTTCCCTCCCCACCAACCGTGACATGCTGGTCCAGGTCTTAATAACCTCTGCTCCAGCGTTAACAGAACTTTCCCTGCTGAGGGAGAGTCTCCAGGCCTATGGGGTGTGGTGGCCGCCTGAGCCCTGTGGCTAGTGAGTGCTCTCCCTGCGGCGAGTGAGACTGCACAGCAGTGTTGACTGCGTTTCATCTTCACTGACAAATGTAAGTGACGCCCCAGGTGGACAGGACAGCTGCTCACTTCACTCCACCACCTGTCTGCAATAGGCCATGTTCTTTCTTTTTTTTTTTAATTAAAAAAAAAAAAAAAAAGATGGGATTTCACCATGATGGCCAGGCTGGTCTTGAACTNTGCTGGCACATGCCCGTAGTTCAGTTACTCAGGAGGCTGAGGCAGAATTGCTGAAACCTGGGAAGCAGAGGTTGCAGTGAGCCAAGGTCATACCATTGCACTCCAGTCTGGGTAACAAGAGCAAAACTCCATCTCAAAAAAAAAAAAAAAAAAAAAAAAAAGGGCACGGTGGCTCAGGCCTATAATCCCAGCACTTTGGGAGGCCGAGGCGGGTGGATCACCTGAGGTCAGGAGTTCAAGACCAACCTGACCAACATGGTGAAACCCTGTCTTTAAAAAAAAAAAATTGTCAGCTTGATCTTGATGAGCAGGACATTGGTGGTTCCCTCCCCACCAACCGTGACATGCTGGTCCAGGTCTTAATAACCTCTGCTCCAGCGTTAACAGAACTTTCCCTGCTGAGGGAGAGTCTCCAGGCCTATGGGGTGTGGTGGCCGCCTGAGCCCTGTGGCTAGTGAGTGCTCTCCCTGCGGCGAGTGAGACTGCACAGCAGTGTTGACTGCGTTTCATCTTCACTGACAAATGTAAGTGACGCCCCAGGTGGACAGGACAGCTGCTCACTTCACTCCACCACCTGTCTGCAATAGGCCATGTTCTTTCTTTTTTTTTTTAATTAAAAAAAAAAAAAAAAAGATGGGATTTCACCATGATGGCCAGGCTGGTCTTGAACTGCTGACCTCAGGTGACCCACCTGCCTTGGCCTCCAAAGTGCTTGGATTACAGGCATGAGCCACCGCGCCTGGCCCTTTTTTTTTTTAATTTGAGACAGAGTGTCACTCTTGTTGCCCAGGCTGGAGTTCAGTGGCGCGATCTCGGCTCACAGCAACCGTCTCCTCCCGGGTTCAAGCGATTCTCCTGCTAGGCGTGAGCCACCGTGCTCAGCCAATAGGATGTTTTCCAAGAGTCTTACTGCTTATTCGATGAGCTTCTATTTTGCTGTTTTGTTGCAGGAAGACATAAGGGACCCTTGGCAGAAAGAGACTTAAAATCAGGTATGTTTTTCTCCGATTGCAGTTACTGACACAGGTTTCCTAAAGCTCCCCCTTTCAACTAAGTGAAAGAATTCCCAGAACAATGCCGGGCGCAGTGGCTCACGCCTGTAATCCCAGCACTTTGGGAGGCCGAGGCAGGTGGATCATGAGGTCAAGAGATCGAGACCATCCTGGTCAACATGGTGAAACCCCGTCTCTACTACAAATACAAAAATTAGCTGGGCATGGTGGCGCGTGCCTGTAATCCCAGCTACACGGGAGGCTGAGGCAGGAGAATTGCCTGAACCCAGGAGGCGGAGGTTGCGGTGAGCCGAGATTGCGCCATTGCACTCCAGCCTGGGTGACAAGAGCGAAACTCCGTCTCAAAAAAAAGAAAAGGAAAAAGGAGAGAATTTCTACGTCTCCATACACTGGGGAAACTGCTCCGTGCAGAGCGGTGCCTTACTGCAAACAGGGCATGTAGCGTGAGGTCACAAACTCCGCTCTTTCCTGTCCTCAGGCCGCTGTCCAGGGAACTCCTTTTCCTGCCACAACGGCCAGTGTGTGACCAAGCTGAACCCGGAATGTGATGACCAGCAGGACTGCTCCGACGGGTCCGACGAGGCACTCTGCGGTCAGTCTGCCTGTCTGGCCTGGCCTCCGGGCCCCACGCCTTTTCCGGGGTCAGCTGCGGGCTCTGCTCTCTGTCACTCGGGCACACGGGCCTGGCGTTTATGGGGGCTGGGCAGAGAAAAGAAAGGGGATTCCATGGTGTGGAGAGCAACATGAGGAAGCAGCAAGAGGAGAGGCTCGGGTGTGTGATGGGGAGAACCCTCGGGAGAACAGGGAGAAGATACCAGGCTGAAAACAGAAGCTGGGCCAAAGCCTGGAAAGCCTTCCACACCAGGAGCTGGAGCTCTGTCCTGTAAATCCAGGGGTGTGGCCACAGGGATGTGAGCAGTGGAAAGAGACAATTAAACTGCTGGAAGAGATGAGCTGGGCACGGTGGCTCACACCTGTAATCCCAGCACTTTGGGAGGCCAAGGTAGGTGGATCA